ATATAATTTAATTTAAGTTTAATAATAAAACAATTTATATTTGGTTTAATATTATAAATTTTATAAAGATAATAATTAAGTATTCTGTTAGAATTTAATGATTATACTAATTATATTTTAGATTTTTATATTTAAAATTAGATGTTTATCCGGTATTTGATTGTGTTTATCTGCAGTTAGTTACACGTATTCAGATGCAGATATGAGATGAAATTAGATAGGAATGAAATCGTTTAGGGATGAACGGGTTTAAGAATTTTTAAGAATTTTAACCAAATGCTTTATAAGATAGTATAGATAAAGGTGTAAAATGAAAAGCAAAATGAAAAATCAATTATATAAATAACCATAAGGGTAGAAAATATAAGTTTTAAAAATAATTCATATGTATTTATAATATTTAATAATATAAGATCAAATYCAAAAAATTCAATATATCTTGAACATATTGACCAGACGATTACAATGGTGTAGTTTTAAAAAAAGTATTTTTTTATGTATTTTAGTTAATATACGGTTATATATTATAATATAATAAATATGTAAAATGAAAAATTAAAAAGTAACGGATATAAAGTAAATTAGATGATTAATTATGAGAGTGTAAAGTGTAAAAATAGTTTACCCAGATATGGGTGAACTCGGGAAAACTATTTTTACATTTTGCACTTTTATTATATTAACACATATAATCATACATTGATTAAAATACATAAAAAAATAGTTTTTTTATAAATTACACCATTATCATTGTCTCGTCAATACATTCAGAATGAACCAATATTGAATATTTTTTGAATTTATTCTTATATTATTAAATATTATAAAAGTTATTAATTATTTTAATAATTAGATTTTGTACCCTTATAATTACAAATCAAATAAATAATAATAAGGACAGAAAATGTAAGTTTCAAATTAATCCATATGTATTTATAATATTTAATAATATAGATCCAAATATATTCAGTATTAGACTCATTTTGAACGTATTGACRAGACGATTATAAAATGTAAAAAATTTAAGCTATTAGAAACTTTACACGGAAAGGGATTTTCATCATAAAGCCTTTTTTTTCCTGCGTA